TAGGACCTGTAACACAACTGCCTCCCTTGGCCTGATGGACCTGCAACACAACAGCCTCCCTTAGCCTCATGGACCTGTAACCCAACAGCCTCCCTTGGCCGCGTGGACCTGTAACCCAACAGCCTCCCTTGGCCGCGTGGACCTGTAACCCAACAGCCTCCCTTGGCCGCGTGGACCTGTAACCCAACAGCCTCCCTTGGCCGCGTGGACCTGTAACACAACAGCCTCCCTTGGCCGCGTGGACCTGTAACCCAACAGCCTCCCTTGGCCGCGTGGACCTGTAACCCAACAGCCTCCCTTGGCCGCGTGGACCTGTAACCCAACAGCCTCCCTTGGCCGCGTGGACCTGTAACCCAACAGCCTCCCTTGGCCGCGTGGACCTGTAACCCAACAGCCTCCCTTGGCCGCGTGGACCTGTAACCCAACAGCCTCCCTTGGCCGCGTGGACCTGTAACCCAACAGCCTCCCTTGGCCGCGTGGACCTGTAACCCAACAGCCTCCCTTGGCCGCGTGGACCTGTAACCCAACAGCCTCCCTTGGCCTCATGGACCTGTAACACAACAGCCTTCCTGGCCTGACCGACCTGTAACTGTCTCAAGGAAGGCCCTGGGCTCTGGGAGGTGGCTCCCCCAACCCGCCCTGTGAGGCCCTGGCTGGGTCCTCCCCAAGGGCCGGGGCTCCCTGGCGTCCTAGGACCCACGGACGTGGGAAACCTCCACAGACTGGCATCGGCCGCTGGCACCCAGGGCTCAGTGTTTAGGAAAAGATGAGACCCCGGCGGGTCTGGTTCTCTGGCCCCGGACCGGCCCAGCTCCTGGTAAAGCTCCTGCTGTCTCTGTAGATCCACTTGTTTGCAAGCCTGGACAGGTGCAGGGCCAGCCCCCCTCACCCCAAGCCGCGGGGAGAGCGTGTCCGCAGCGAGGCCTGGGTCTGGCAGTGCGCGGGCCCCGGCGTCAGGCTGGCTGTGTCACTGCCGCCCCCACGAAGCTGGGGAACGGTGT